TACATGCATGCATATATCAATGAACTGTAATTGTAACATTACTCAATATAATGCACTTAATTGAGTAGATGAGCATTTTATTATATATATTCATGAAATAAGTATTATGTGTATCGTATTTTCTATGTATCTATTGACTTTGCATGTATTTTGATCAATTTCGTTTTTACAACCTACGTTTACTGTTTTACAAAAACTTAGCCGTACTACCTTTGGTTTCACAACCGAGAATTTATGAAAATAATGATCAACATGGAGTCTTAACAAGTTCGGTTTTTTTATGTCATAATTCATATTATAAAAATAATATACTAGTATGCCCATTGATTGTAAAAAGGAATCAAAATCGGAATGGGAGAGAGGGGAGAGATCAATGAAGGTGCTCGTCCACCTCCCCCCTCTCCATTTGAGTGTGAGGGAAGGTCGGAATTTGAGAATAGAAGGCGACAGGTACAATCACTGTAATAATTTTAGGGTATTTGGTGTGAAAAAAATATCAAGTATTAGGGAATTAATGAAAAGAAACGAGTTAGTGCACGCTTAATAATTATAGTGCGGATTATTGTTCCACGTTGTTAATTAAATCGATTTTAAATTCTCCATGCATCAAGTAAAAACATAGTAAAACGTTAATGAACTTATAAAAATGATAACACACACTTGTATTTTTGCACTGAATTATATTGCGATTGAAAAGACCCCCAACATTTAGTGCTATGGAATAAACATATTGAGCAAAAAAGTCTCTTTGGTGTAATTCTGCCCCACACGTTTGAACTGTAAGAAGAACAGTAGTTTATTTGTTCCCTACCGGTGAAACCGGAGGGGATAATAGGTTTCATTTGAGTCTGTCCGTCCGTCTGTCTGTCAGTCTGTCCTACTTGGTTTTCCACACTTTTTTCTAAACGCTTGCAGATATTGAACTGATTTTTGGTATGTAAGCGTATATTGATGAATTACAGATCAAGTTTGCATTAAGTTCTGCTTCAATGATTTTTAATGCAATACTCTCAGAATGCTTCTTAGCTTTAGTTTTAATCATCATAATTATTAAGATACACACAAAAAAAGAAGAAAACATAATATACTAATACCATCCTGAAGCTGTGCCACATCAACTGATTGCACTCGAAACATTATATCAGGAGCCACTTATCATATGTTGGCGAAGTTCCTGTTGTAATGAAAGTCATTAAACATGTTAAAGGTCAGGCGATGGAAATTTTTCTCTTTATATTCATCGATGTTTTGTTTATATATTTCGCATTTCTCTTTATATATATATATATCGAGGTTTTGTTTATATATTTCGCATTTCCTTTATATATATCGAGGTCCTGTTTATATATTTCGCGTTTCCTTTATATATATATCGAGGTTTTGTTTTTATATTTCGCATTTCCTTTATATATCGAGGTTTGCTTTTATATATTGCTTTTCCTTTATATATAAAGGTTGGCACTAATGGGCTTCTGTAATTTCCACAGCAATGCTGTATATTTAAAAAAAGTCCCTTGCCTTCGGAATTGTTGGAGAATATACCCAGATATTTTCCAATGAATTTTCGAGACTGAAGGGTAGATTCTCCAACAATTCCGACGACAAGGCAATTTTTTCTATTCTGCTACGGCGAATGTAGAGAAAGGGGAAATCTTCAATTTCGGTATCTAATGGCGTCACAGAATTGAATGCTGCTCCTCGTTCATTTGCACTTCATACATTAGAAAAAGTGCGATATTTTCCGACAGGTTAACTGTTGCGTTACAACCAAAAGATGCCTCGATTCTTTTCCTAGTGAGAGCAGTCAAAATTAGAGTAAAACGATTCAAATTTTCTGATAATTTGTTGATGATGTTTGTGATTTATTGGAGAAAAAATGGCCGCGACATTTCTTTGATCTCTACAATAACCGTACTTAAATAGTTTCTAATAGGTTTTCAACTTTTTTGAAAATTAAAAAATTGGACCACATCTTATTCTGTAGAAATGTGCTATATAAAAGGGTGGAGACAAATGAAAATATACATGGAATAAATAAACAAATAATTTTTAAAAGGTTTTATTGTCATAGCAACGAATTATATATAAAGAATATAACTTTTCTATACCTATTTTAAAAATAGTAATTATTGTCTTGAAATTTTCAACTTCCGGACGCAAGATCTGTTTTTCTAGCAATTGGACTCGAACATGTTCAAAAATTCTATTTTCCAAACTGTCATAGTAACCATGACACATATCAACCCATTCTTATGGTATCAAAGAGAGCTTGAAGAAATTCTGTGATTTTGCGTGCCACGGCTCTTATTAAAGAGTTAAAGTCCTTCTAATGAGTGGTACTTCGTAGAAATTAATTGCTTGTTTGGCTAAATGGATCATCAAAGCATAGAATGTAATCATTAGAGAGTAAAGAGACACACTAACATCATATATCATGTCATGTATATGTGAAAGTAATCAATGTCAACACACGAGTCATATTTGTGCCAAAATTAAGAACTTTGGTTTTCACAGACGAAAATTGTAATACATTCAAAACAATACCCCCCCCCCCCCCATTGGAACCACTTGGTGACAATATTTTCTTTTCATCTACAATGTAGTTTGTTTTAAAATATGTTACATGTTGTGGTACGATATCTATATTTTGAATGACTTCGCAAATTTTATTCCTCTAGATTTTCTTCGGAATTGGTTGGTAGGTGGTGACTGCCTGCATGTCTGTTGGGCTTGTTTTAATCAGCATTTTTTATAAGCGTTCGTGGTCACGAGTTCTAATGCATCAAAACATCATCCCTCGAACATCTGTAAACGACAAAAAATATAAACTTGATAGCAACGTTTCCTTTCAATCCTACTTTATGAAAAAATTTTAGGCTGCGAACTTAAGATACGATATCTAAAGTATTGTTTACTTCATAAATTTCACTTCCCTTTGCTTTTTTGATAAGCGTTAGCAACGTGTTCTAGAGACTTGTATTATCAGGATTTGTATAGAACCATGTCAATGTCAAGTGAATAAAACCTATAAATTGGGGGATATGTCACTCCCAATGCCCGAACAGCTGTGGGATATACGTGAAAAAAATCAATGATAAAAGATGAAATATAAAAAAAAAAAAATCTTTTTTTGTTTTGTTTTGTTTTGTTTGTATTTTTAAATACAATTTTTTGTGTTTTTAAATTTGTTGTTAATACATGTATTCAAAAGACAAATCGGTTGTTATCTTTGTAATCAGTGGCGCGGCTTGCCTCCTGATTTTTGTGGCTTTGGGGGGGGGGGGGGGGGTCATATAGAACAAAACAATTTTCAGAATATTTTTTTAATAGAAAAAATGACAAAAATGTCCGCGCTCGGGAAGTTGTCCAGGCAGGATAATCGTTGACATTACAAAGCTACCCAGGCCAGTTTTCCTGAAAGATCAAAACCTGACCACGTGAACCTTATCTTTCAGATTCACAAAGAATTAAAAAAAAAATTACACGAGCGCTACCCCTAAATTTTGGAACCATATTTATCAATCAAAAGATCAACTGGTCATGCCAGGTCAATTAATCGTGCACGAACAATTTGATAGATAGGACGGCATAATCTTCATCAAAAGTTTATAAGCGACTCTATATAAGAAATATTGAACCACACCGCAACAACTAAAGCATTAACAAGATAAAACTTTTAGTTTTCAGACTTGAATATCAAATCTTAATTCAATGTCAGAAAACTCATTCATCAATATATTTTTCGTATAAAATCTAGAGAACGAATATTTTTTCCGCATTTAGACGCTGTTTCTTGGCTTTTCTTTCCTTGCGTTAATCAGTAGACACGGCGGAGCAGTCTAGAATTGATCTGTCATCGATAAAATTTGTATAAATCTACACATAGTCATAAACCAGATCAAGAATTATTTAAAAGAAATATCGAGAACTTCTAAATACTAATTACATTGTTTCTAAAACAGATAATATGAAATATGTTGTGTAACCGGAGTCAGTTGGCGGAGGGGTCATTTTTAATTTTTTTTTTTTTTTTTTTTTAGCTGTGCCTGACTAGACATTACTTATTTATGAGGTTTTCACCGGAATTGTTATGTAAATGAAGCAAACTCAAAAAAGCCACAAATCATACATTTACTATATGTAGGTATCCCAAGTGAATCGAGATGATATTCGGCCGGTTCTACATAATGAAATTATCTACCACATAAATAATTATGCTGAAGATTTATTTCAGACTCAGTTAACAAGGAAAAACGCACCAAAAGTTTATTAACTTTATTAACATTTTTATATAATGCATTAATTAACAGAAAATTTTAAGCTCGTTATCTCACTACCAAAACAATTTTACATTTTCTTTGAAAAAATAAATACCCCCCCCCCCCCCCACAAATTAATCTAAAAAAAAGTTATGAGCTTATTTTCGTCTTTCAATTCTGGAATGACATTTCGATTGAGATGTTTTATGGATCCAGTAAATATATTTTTGGTGATGTTTACTTCCTTAAATATGTTTTATAGCCTGAGACTTTTTTTTGGAGATCAAATCTTTAGTGAGGTAAGTATAAGTTACTTCACTGCCTCAATGAAAGATATGCCACTGATAATGGTCTTAAAATCAGCTACGTGTAGTAATTTAAAAGAGCATGCGTGTCAGAATGTATTTTACGCACTGGAATGTTAAATATATTTATCATCTTTATTTATTACCCATTAATTCACGAATTTTGCATTTCATATCGATGTTAATTGGATTTTCAAATGCTTTAAGTATATGTCATGTCTTCATTGATATTTATCTGGTATATATATATATATATATAATTGACAGCTCTCTTTCATTAGCAGTCTTACACTACGAAGGAAGCTGACGACGTGTTTCGACTGTTGCTGCTTTTTGTAATATTCACGTAATGTTTATTTTACGAACGTGACATTTAATCCCGAGCAATGATTTTGTTTTAGAGAGAGAGAAAAAAAGAAGGTTAAGTGAAATAGCTTGGGCGCTGTGAAATTGGGCAATTCAAAGACGATTTTCGTATCGACAGAAATAGATTTTTTTCCCCTCTACTGCAATTGTTTTAAGAAAGGCTGATTGGCCGTAAGTTATTAGAAAACCCGCCAGTAAAAATTTTACATGTCGCGTTTTTCACTAAGTGACGGTAGGAACAAATCTAAGTGAGTTCCTCTGTATCTTCAATGTGCTCCGGATGTAAACTATAAGCAGTCATCAAATATGATAAAAGCATTGATTATTACATTGGGGAATGACTTAATGCACGGGCTTTTGGTGCTTTGTGAAGAGTAGCCACTGTGACAACAAGATAAAGCATTGGAGCCAGGAGCCAGCAGGTTGCATTATCAACACAAAGCGGCGCACGCGCCTTCCACTGACCACATGTCACTGTAGATACCTTGAATACGGAAAACAGACGACTGTAAACGTACGGGTGCCAAACCATGACGTCGTTTGCAATTACCCTCTCTGCCGGTGATGAAATATTTCGAAGTTAGCCCCACATTAATATATTCATCAGGTATCTGGACAAATACCTGAACATGTAACTTGCGGTTCGATGGTGGACTTCTGACTGGACTTTGTGCTTCTGAAGTCTGAGATGGGTAATTCAAAATCTGTTTCAGACCCGAAGAAAGACACATTGGCCTCGCACCTGAGTACAAGACAGAGATTACTTGTCCAAGATACACTAGAACTCATGAAAGATGAACTGTCAGAGCTGGGAGTCATTGTATTCAGAAGGTAAGTACACAGTGTGATGTGTATACTACTTAGTCCTATAGAAAATGTTCAGGTAATAACTTTGCACTTCTTGCCCTAACAAACCTGTTTTGGATACTTATAATAATTATGATTGTTAAATGTGGTATAGAAATAGAGCATTTATACAATAAATAAGATTTTTTTTTCTGAATCATTTCTTGAACTGACGAAAAAACATGATTTGATGTTTATAATGAGGTCTTTAGGATTTCCATAAATTCCCTGATGGAGTGAACCAAATCCCATTACATGTAATGGTGTTAGATGCTAGATAGTCAGAAATCCAATATATATGAGTTAAATAAAATCGTGATGTTTAAGGTCAGAGAGATTAAAAATATTAAAGAGATTATCTGGAAGTCATGATATCTTTATTCTAAGACTATGCAATTTTCTTTTTGGACAAAGAGAAAAATTAAATCGGGAGCTCAGTTATTGCACACCACGTAAAACCCAAGTCAAACTTCCTAGTTGTTATAATCAAGCTTTTTACAAACTTTGTTTCTGGTCTTGTACGAAGAGACGAAACTAAAAGCAAACTTTGCATTTTCAAATGAAGAACAATTAAAGTAAATATAAATAAATGAACACAGCCTTAATATGATAATTAAATTCGGACCAAAATGTATATCATTATGCTGCTATTGTTTTTTCAACCTTAGATTGAACTTCTATAACGTCTGTCTCGCCGGTGTATATTGCATCTGTAGAAATAGTGAATAATTGCTTTTGATGGATTTTATATGTAACTCTAGGCGTTTGAACCACAATCAAACACCTTCACATGCCTTACAAATTCGACCATTCCATTAACAAGATTTTCGATATCTTTGTATTGGGGTATTCTTTCGGCTTTTGTTGTCCATGCTCCACATCCGATTGGTTGTACGATAACACTAGTACCGGTTAACGCCGATATATGATTTACGAAGGTTAATAACCGCAAAAATCTTGTGCATTATGTTCGAAACTCATCCTGCAGAGAAATTTTATATGCACGATACATCAGAACTAAAGAAAAATCCATATTTAAAATGGATTCAATTTATGGAGACTATTTCAGTGCTCACAAGTTTTATATAAGCAATATGTTACATACCTGTAGAAATATTATACATGTATAAATGGATTAGATTTCTATTTTCCCAAAACAATATTTCACTATCTCGTGCTGTAAAGCTTTATGTGCAATGTGTTGCCTACCTATGTGTGGGTATTTTTTTTCAAACCTGCAGATATAATTTTGATTGATTCAAAGAAGTTGGAGATTTTGATAAAACGTTCATCTATCACTGTTCAGTTCAGACGACCTTTTCGATGCATTATTAACTGTTAAGTATTACGGAAATCCTGAACACGTGTTACAACTTTGAATTCCCAAGATATCGCAATTCAGATTAAGCCGTTATTATTTTTTAATAAAAAAAAGATTTATTCGTTGAAGAAAATCAATTGGAATAATCAGTTTTTTTTAAAAAGGAAACAAATTTTAGTTATGTATGTAGAAACACAATAACAAAACATGGGCATCCTTGTTATAGATACATACAAATCCATGACCAGTTCTTTAATATCAGAATTGTCAAAAATTACTCAAGTAAACGGTTTTACCTTTAACCAGTCTGAAAAGAGCAAACTTTCAAGTCCTTGGCAGTTTTCTTTTTATAAAGTTTTAAATCGCGTTTGTAAATCTGCGAATTTAGACAAATGTAGAACCCAAGAATGCTCCTGGCATTTGAAACAACTTAGTTTTTCATGAATCTTGGCTCAATTGAAATAGAAATGATGCAAAATAAAATTGCGAATTTTATATAAAGAAGATGGGCGTACTTGGCGTGCGATCTGCAGGAATCATGTGTACGAAACATTTATGGTTTAAATGTCCACGATTTGATCGGCTGACCAGAAGTGGACAGACTTTACCAAGATATGCACATAGGAAAATGTTTAGATTTACATTGAAATAGCTTTCAAATTTGAAATATTTTAGTTCACTTATCTTGATAGTCACGATAACACAGTAATACTTCACATAAATAATAAACACCTAACAAGATAATAGGGTATGATATATGAAATGAAGTTTCAGTAGGTTTGAAAAATTGCTTTCGCTCCCGTGCAACTGAACCAAAAATTATCTCTTTTAAAACTTATAAATCAGTAAATAAAATTCACTTGATTGTTTGTATAAAAAAAAGAAAAAAATACATTGCTCCATGCGAGGATCGAACCAAAAACTTCTCGACTGCTTAGTGCGCTGGACTGGTAATGCATACTACCGAGATATCATCGCTACACAAACATCATGGAATTTTAAAATGACAAAGAACCAACGCATTTTCACATAGGTATTTTTTGGGAAAAGTTAATTTTTATAGTCTCTGGGTCTTCCCTCCATTTTTTACAAATGTTTGTTCGTTTCTTTGAATACAAATGCACACAAATATCTTTTTAAAATCGTGGAGAGATGACCCAGAGATAACAAATTTTTAGAAAAACGTGTTTAAAAATGTAACATTTTGTACCAAATGACGCATCTAACCATGTTTCAAGTTATTTTTAAGGAAATCAAAACACACTATTGGGAAAATGTTTTCCTTTCCTATTTCATAGATATATCAAAAGAATGTTAAAATTTAATTTTACAATTCAATGAAGTTTTCACTTTTCAAGTGCGCCCCGATTCTTGCCAAATGTCAATCAAAAGCGCTCTCGTTCTTACAAGGTGATCCGGAATTGAATACATGCATGCGATTTATGATCTTACGGTCTTTAATTAAAAACTCTAAAATTTACTCACTGAAATAAGTGTTTGTAATGCTACAATAAGAAATACGGTAGTTTAATTAATGTGCGTCAAATTGTTTGCCTATTAAACAAAAATATCCCTCAGACATAAAGCATAACATTGTTTGTAATGATAGTATTAAGAAGTACACGTATTATGAAGATTTCGCTATTTCATGAGGGAGGGATGGAAAACGTACAAGCCCAAAGAATGGACCCACCTGCCTCTTACAAATCCGTTAGATTTTGGTTTAAGTACTGTACACTGTTGTCAAATTCAATACATATTTCAACATTTAGCTGGCATACTATTTACTGAGAGAAAAAAATCACTTATTTGCAGAAAAAACCCCCAAAAACAATTCTTAGTTGAACTACAAAATTTATGCTTCTTATAAGAAATTTATCCAAGGAATGTGAAATTAGGAACTCATAAGTTTTTTCTGTAGATCATAGTGATGGACAGAATTTCACAATTATCGATTCATACAACATGCGGTTTCAAAGATGATAAATTCTTATGGAAAATTCGATTCTGATTTAAAAAAAAAACTTCTGAAAAAAGAACTTTTATTTAACACATTGCGTGCTTGGACCTTACATGTTAGAAGAACAGAGAATGATTTAAAAAATGCACGAAGTTGACCAGTCTCTGTATTCCTTAATAAAGAACGGAAGAAGGAATCTGATATATACATCACACTAACAGTTCTAGGAAATCATCAGCGATGTGTCTCATGCAGATTAGATGTTCTAAATGATTAAACCTAATTTTTTTAAAACATAAGTAGAAATTCTTAACTATATGTTTTAAGTCAACTATTAGCTTGTTTTAAAAATTATAAACTATTAGTATCTTTGCAATATTCGGAATTTTGATCCCTTCCCTGATCTTCCTTTGGGAGGGGTATGAATTGCACAAACTTGAAACTAATATTAAATACTTGAAATCGTAGTTTTTGTCGATCATAAGAAATATTATGTTTTAAAAGGATGTCATCATCTCAAGCCACGGTCCAGAGTCCTAAAATGAGAGGATCGTACATTTTGGGCGTGGTGTGCGACGATGAGATGCCTGTATAGCATTGATTTCAGAAAAGTGGTTATGATCGTGAAAGATTCGTCTCAGAAAATTCCCACGAGGTTTTACATATAGTGAAGTTTTGACTTTTCTAGACTTGTGAAGATAGAGGATTTATAAATGTTCCCTTTTTCTGAAATATCTTAGTTTTATAGAAGCAGGGCGTAGTTTGACTCTAAATTCTAGTGAGGCAAAATCATAGTGGCGGGGGGTGGTCTGGGGACTGCCTAAGGTTCCCAAGAGGTCCAAAGTGGAGTCTTGATGGGTGGAAGGGGTGGTGGTGGTGAAGCCCTCCGATGAAAAATGAATTTTGGGGTTTAGAATGCAAAAATAATTATTGTTCTAAATAGAATTTTTGTCAACTTTACCGGTTTCATTATAAAAGACTTCAGTGTGCATATAATACATGTACTACATTTTGTAAAAGTATTTAAAAGAGTTAATAAATATGTTTACTAAAACTTCAAACACATTTAAAAATGAAAATTACGTTTAATAACTTTGTTTTTATTTCATTAAAACTTGAATTGCCCGATTCGGCAATGTTTTCTAGTCAGCAAATCTGCTGAGGACATATGAATCTGAAACCGTCTGGTGTCGGTGAATAAACTGCAAGGCAAGGCCGACCAGGCGGTCCTCATCATAAATCTCCCCAGTGTTTAAGAGTCTCATTGCAGAAAAAGAGATCTTTTTTAGATCCGTTTAAATGTTAGACGAAGTTTTCAATACAATTAGTTTTCAATACAAAATATTTTCTGCCATTTATTGTTGAATATGGTAGTGGGTGGTGGTGAAATATCTAGGGAGACAGTTGCCTCATTGTCACAATAGAAGCTACGCCCCTGGGTTACAGTTCAAGGCATGCCCATTAAGTGAATTCCTTGCTCTGAAGTCATTTTTTCGGCAGATGAAATTGACCGTTGTTTTTGGTGTTATTAGACTCGGGCCACTATAACAAAAGTTGAATGTAAAATGTTAACAAAAACAGACGAGAGACATTGATCAGAAAAGGTGAACCTATAGCTCCTGGCTCAGATGAGCTAAAAATAACGCAAAGCATTCTCGTCTAAAACTTGTGCTGATCTCTTGCATGAGCATCATTGGAAAAACC